TGAGAAACCTTCTCCATTCGTATTTTGGGGACGCTGAAAGCTGCTAATCGATGAGAAGACGGCGGGAGTTATGATTCGTTATGATAATGGACAAATAAGAGTTTTCATAACGGTTAACGTTGGGTTTATTGAGTGGGTATGTTTGAAGCAGTGTCACTTGCATGTGTGACGTCCAAGTGCACGGGGCTGCTCACGCAGATATTTCTAAGACTGCAGATTGCAAGTGTGATATCCAGGCGCGTTGGGCTTCTTTCACGAAGATATTTCTAGAAATGATTCCTTTCTAACGCTGATTGAGCTTATTCCCGATTAATAATCGATCAGCGTATTTTGAGGATTCCTATCTTCTTATCATGCAAGTTGGGAGGGCGAATTCAGTATATACTTTGGTGCTAGTTGAAGTTTGACAACAAAAAACGTTAGGTTAGCTTAACCCTTTCTCGGGCACCCGGTGTCATTACTGTTTTCAGTAATCCAGTCATAAAATATCTACCGCTACTTCGCTCTTTACGCCTAAGAGACAGGTCATTGACGTTAAGGTGACTTGTAACATACGCGTATTTCTGAGGAACTTATTTGTAGATATGAGAGAGCGATGTCATATACACGAGTTCAATCTATTAGTAAGTATTTTGAGGTGTAGTTCGAGTAGTGTTGCTTCCAGACATTCCATTAATAGGTCCAGGGCGTGCGTGAGTGAGTGAGTGAGTCTGTACTAATTCGTTTGCATAGTGCTAGAGGGGCGGTGGGGTAGCCTGCTGGTTAAATCCTTCGCTCTTCACGCCGAAAACCCGGATTCGATTCTCTAGATGGGTACAATGTGTGAAGCCAATTTCTATATTGCTGGAATATTGCTAAAATATATTGCTCGCATAGTGCTAGCCCACTGTGAGGGCATGTCGCAGATGTCTTTGATTAGGCCGTGGCCGAATATGGAACCAGTACCCTTCTGCTTCCTGAGCAGACTCTCTATCCTCTAAACCACAGGCTACCCAGAGAGGTCACCTAGTGCCGGTAACATCGAGACTCTGAACACTCTTGTCTGGGTGCATGTCGTACTTAGCTATCTCCGGTCAATGTCATGATTTATTCAGTAGAGAACATTCTCCATGCACAACGTTCAGGAAGCCATGTATGCTGGCAGTGTGAGACACGCCTTGGTTGTGGATGGTTCTTCGGTTGACTGGGCGACCACAGTTGGCGTCTTGCCAGACTGTATAAATCCACTAAGGACATGCGGCACCTGACGCAATTTTTCCGAGATAAAATAACCATCATAATCACATAACTCGCAAAGATGATGGTGATAATGATGATGATGATGACGACGACGACGATGATGATAGTGTCGATGATGATGATGATGATGATGATGATGATATATATTTTTAAAATTCCTTTCCATAATCAAAAGGGTTCTCGACCCAAAATGTAAATGCTTTATAATACATTCTACAATGAATACATGATGTAGTGTCAGATTTTCTAATACTTTTAACTGGATCGTAAACTTCCTTTGGCGTCATCAACCGTTTGCATTTAGGATTGAGAACATAAAAAGGTCCTAAAACGAAAATGAAAAACTTCCTGCTTGAAATTGTTGTTATGCCACTGTCGGCCATTGATTCCGCTAATATATACTAATGTATATCGACCAGAACGACAGCTTACATAACTAGAACATGCCACCCTAGGTCGTAACTGCAGCAATAGCCGTTCAGGAGAGTCGGTTTTCTGAGTACACTTGCACTCGGTGGCAAAATGACAGTCAAGAACATCTCGACGGTTCTGATTTATGGATTCTTCTTCATCAACTCAGCTTCCTCATCACGCCATTTGAACCCTGACGCGTTTTTCCAAGTTATTTTAAGCTTTGACTCTTATGTTCTAGAAACACTGGGAATTAGAACACGGACAACTCAGACTTGATCACCTAATGATCATCAAGTCACGAAGTCAAGTCTAATGATTGCGTTACTTATCTGGAAACCTCATTTCAGCACATTACCAGATCTTATTAGGCCTTTATTTGAAATACTAGTAGGTGAGTTTGAGCGGGATAAGGAACGTGTTCACACTGCGATCATTACCTGTGACAAAGCTCTGAAAGCTTAGTGTCTGGCTGTGACGTGTGTCGAAGCTCGGTTGGAGTCAAAGGACGGATTTGGTCTGCCTTCACGCGTGTTGGGATGGGGAAGGTAATTACCTGATGTTTATATCTAAAAGAAGCATTCCCTTTCTGAAATCACATTTACTTTAGTATATATCGAGTATCAGGGGCAATGTCGTTAATTGAGGATAAGTAAGTGAGTATGGTTTTACGCCGTTTTTAGCAATATTCCAGCTATATCACAGTGGGGACACCAGAAATGGGTACACATTGTACCCATCTGGGGAATCGAACACGGGTCTTCAGCGTGACGAGCAAACGCTTTAAGCACTAGGCCACCCCACGCCCATCACAATGAGGATGAAGTATAAGAGTTGTTCTTTCAGATACAAATGAGTGAGTGAGTGAGTGAGTTTAGTTTTACGCCGCACTCAGCAATATTCCAGCTATATGGCGGCGGTCTGTAAATAGATTCTGGACCAGACAATCCTATGATCAACAGCACGGGCATCGATCTACGCAATTGGGATTCGAAGACATGTGTCAACCAAGCCAGCGAGCCTGACCACCCGATCCCGTTAGTCACCTCTCACGACAAGTATGGGTTACTGAAGATCAATTCTAACCCGGATCTTCACGGGTAGTCGGATACAAAGGTTACATTTACTGGATTGTTCAAGTGACTAATGCAGCAGAAAGTCTTATAACACCAGCTTCATCAACCACCACGTCATTGGTTATATAGGAACTAAATTAACATGTCCATGCTTATTGGATCTAGTTGTCAGGCCTGTGCTAAATGAGAATCGATAGTGAAAATTAAACGAATACAAGTCTTGTATCCTCAGGAAAAACATGATGGTAACATACTAAAATGGCATCGTTTCGTAGACATACGTGAAATGTCAGTGCAATAAAACATCCAGTCTTGCCTATCCTCCGACACAGATGCCATATTGGGTTTCGGCTGTAAAATATATGAATGGACCACTCGCAATCGGTGACGGTAATAGGCTCCGTAAGTTCGGATTTTTTTCAAAAGGTACGCTGTTTTCTTGCATTATATTTTCAGGTCGAGAAACACCAAAAGTGCATACCATGTTGATTCATCAAACACGGAATGCAGTGTCCTAATTTCCTAGTTAGAGCCACCATTACATGTAGGTACATGTAGATAAAGCCCCTATCAACGAGAATATTGGACACAATAGGTGACATAAAAATATGCCAGATGTACAACGAACACTTGTCTATTTCACTGCTTTGTAACATATATCTAAAATCTGCTGTAATGTCATTACATTGTTTCCTGTAAACGTGAATATGTGACACATTATGTGACATACAGATATGCAGGTATACTACGAACACTTGTCTATTTCATGACTTAGTAATTTATTTCTAAAATCTGCTGTAATTATATTCCATTGTTTCCCATCAACGTGAATATTCAACACAATATGCGTCATACAGCTATGCCAAATGTACAGCGAACACTTGTCTATTTCATGGCTTTTGCATGACCTCAGCCATGCCCAACAACGAAGCAAATGTGATACATGTGGTCTCACCTCAGGCAAGTGAGTTTGTTCAAAATTGCCTCTCTTCACCCAGCAGAAAATGGGTACCCGGTGGACTCATGTGACTATAACCTTCTAGCGCCTAACAGGCAGCTTGGGTTATCCGGGGTAACACTGTGTTGTGCTATTGATTATTAGGGCCATGAGCATACCTTGTGTGGAATTTGGCGTTATATAAATGGACACATTACACATTTTTATATCTAAAACCTGCTGTAATTTCTGTAATTGTTTCCTAGCAACGTGTATATGGGATACACTATGTGTCATATAGATGTGCCAAATGTACAACGAACACTTGTCTATTTCATGGCTTTGTAATTTATTGCTAAAGTTAGAAACTGCGGTAATTGCATGACAATGTTTCTGTAAAAGTTCAGTTCATAACATTATGCTTTGAAAGTAAATGTTGGACAGGAATGCATTACAATCTAATGTCAGCAGTTGTGAAAGTTTGTATATTTTGAATGATTTTGGAGTCAAGTTTAATCTGAAATCTTCTTGAACAGTTACAGACGGATCTAGTATGGCATATAACTTTCTGGAATGTATGCAGACAATACAAATGGACAAGCTCATGTTTCGTTCATCTCTCTGCACTGCCTGTGACGCTTGTACAATCACTTTATTGTATATGATAGTTGTCCTTCCTTCTGAGTAATTTGTGTTGATTTATAAACCTAGTCGATTTTAAAAACAATATGTAACTTATAAAACGTATGTTATTTGTACGTTTCACACTACATTCTTTGGGTATAGATTTCTCGGTTACCGTATTATTTCAGTTTTGAAATTGACTCGTAAAATGCCATTCTCTGTTCGTTCCATTTGCATAAGATATGTTGAACGATACAGTGCCTTAGAGGACTGCTGTAACTAAATGGCTGTCTTACTTCATTATCGGATAGAGAAACCACATATTACAGACCCGGGGTCGAAGAAATCAATAATGGTGCCCCGTCTGGAAGTCTAGCAGCAGGGGCCTTCCACGTATTTTATATAAGGAACTACGGCATTGAAGACCATTCACTTAAAGAAATGTCGTCATGTTTCAAAAGTACAGTTGCCTTGTGAAATAAATGACAATGTGAAAAAGAATAATATCATGATAATTTTTTTATATTTCAGTCTGTGTTACGCAAATTCCCAATAAAGGAAATGGGTATTTTATGGCGGATGTTGTTTTCGTTTTATGCATTGCGTTGGCACCACGATTCCTTACATCTGCCGCCCTCGCATTGTCCCGTCACTCACACGTGTGGATGGGACATTGATTAGGAATGGTAATAAGGTTTCACGCCATAACTCACTTTTTAATGCATCTGGGGCTTCTTTGCTTCGGTCTTTGGCAACAAGATGGAGCCCTCTGAAAAACAAGAACATTTATCAAATATTGTTTATTAAAGTATTATGTTACGAAGCTGTAGAATGGTCCATTTTCCTGGCAGTTTAATGGGAACGCTAGAATTGATAAACACTCTGAAATAGACAACTGTTAATTTGTAAATTCAAATTGGCCAATCCGGTGAGTGCTGCAATAAATAACCGGCTTAACGATCAGTTAAATCAACAAATAGACCCTATAATAGAATTAAACAAAAATTAACCAGACATTCATGATTATTGATCAGGTTTAAAATGTTAACGTGACCTGGAACTAGTGTGACCTCATGCCTTTTTAATAGTTATTCAATTTCTGTTAATCTCATTTGATATTCCATCGATGCATATACGCATGGTAATATTAATGTAAGTGTGACATATAACCTAAGCATTATAAACCGTTTTGTGGTCTTTGTATCGATGGTGGTTTCCCAAGTTTCTGTGAAAGGAAACTTGTCTCAAACCATTTTTTTCTCACGGTCATGGTTGCAAATCTCACAAAGTCGTTATCATCATTTGAGGTTTCCAAATATTTAAATAACATTTGTGACGTCATTCCATTGTCTGCTCGCTCCATTACTTTTCAGGAATGGAGCGATGTGTACCAGCTTCAAATTAAAGACTTCATTTTGTCATTTTGACATATAACTTTGATAAAGAAATATTCCCAATACTTTGAGTGTAATTTAAGTAGGGTAATATCCTCGTAACTCTCCATTCCTTAAAATCAATGTGCCTCGACCCCTCCGGGGCCTCGGCTCCATTATTTTTAAGGAATGGAGAGTTACTCGGACATTACCCTCTACATAATGTCTGGTCGTCAAACAAATTTTGGTTCCAGTCGAATCTGTCACAGATATCAGGATACCGTTAAGTATCAGGATAGCCTGGTTTTGTAAGTTGCATCGCTAACCTGTCTGATAACAATTTTGGTTTTGGTTCAAAATTGATTCAAACAACAGACAGTGTTCCAGTCCGAGCCAGTTTTAGAGTCACGTGACATGTTCCCTTGATGGTCTGTCGATAACGCAATATTGGTAAAATCCATAAACATTCGGTTTATAGATGTGTGTAGAATATTTGATGTCCTACAGGCTTTGGATTTGGAAACACGTTATACCATGACGTCAGCAACATTTGGAGAACTACGTTTTCCTTCACCGCCTCAGACAGTAACATTAATACAACATATCTCTTTACCACAAACATACCCGTCATTTTCTGTTCCAGACAAGGTGGGATGAAATGGGGTTTAACGTCGTACTTGAGAATATTTCTCTTACACGAGACCCGTGAAGGTCCGGGTTAGAATATTGGCCTTCAGTAACCCATGCTTGTCGTAAGAGGCGACAAACGGGATGGGGTGGTCAGGCTCCCTGACTTGGTTGACACTTGTTATCGGTTCCCAATTGTGTAGATCGATGCTCATGTTGTTGATCAATGGATTGTCTGGTCCAGACGGGATTATATTCAGACCGCTGCCTATATACCTGGAATATTGCCGAGGACCCGAGTTCGATTCTCCACATGGGTACAATTCTGGTGTCCCCTGTCGTGATATTGCTGGAATATTGCTAAAAGCTGACTCGCATGGTGCTAGCCCGCTGTGAGGACAGTTGTATTTTAGTTATGCCGTGGCCGAATATGGAACCAGTACTCTTCTGCTTTCTGAGCAGACTCTCTATCCTCTAAACCACAGGCTGCCCAGAGAGGTCACCTAGTGCCGGTGAACATTGAGACTCTGAACACTCTTGTCTGGGTGCATGTCGTACTTAGCTATCTCCGGTGATTTATTCAGTAGAGAACATTCTCCATGCACAACGTTCAGGAAGCCATGTATGCTGGCAGCGGTGGGGTAGCCTAGTGGTTACAACGTTCGCTCGTCTCGCCGATGACCCGAGTTCGATTCTCCACATGGGTACAATGTGTGAAGCCCATTTCTGGTGTCCACCGCCGGCATATTGCTGGAATATTGCTGAAAGCGGCGTAAAACTAAACTCACTCACTTCAGACAACAATAATGGTCACTCTACATTCAGAATCATTCACTCACCTACATATAGCTGCAGCTAGTGGTATATACCAGGTCACGTCCCAGACAGTGAGGATGCAACCTCTTAGCATCCAACATGTCACGCTACATCCAGACCAACAAAACAATACCCTGCGCACTTCCAGACGACAATAATGGATACTCCGGTACATCCAGAATCAGGTCTGAGGACACTCTCGTTATTACGTTCCTTATATCCAAAGATTATCATATACAGCTACCTTCAGACAACTATAATTCTACACCATAGCAATTCCACACAAAGCTCATGTACCATGCTACCTTGAAGTCAGGACAGCTTATTACCATGCTTGCCTCAGACATCAATGATTATATACCATTCTACCTTCCAGACAGGAACATCCGGTGTTATCGCTGATTTGCAGGAATCTATTTATAGACCTTTCATCACTATTTTGCCTTTCACGCCCTTTGCAATATATCTAGACAGATTTTCGGTACGGATGTTTTTGCCTTTCACGTTCAAATGTTTTGCCCTATATTCAGTTTTATCCACATGTTAACATTTTTCCAGACACTACAATTTTCATGTCATGTTGCTGACAGACATCACGAATTACACACCATGCTACCAACAGCCAGCAAGCTGAATGTTGGTACACCGCCTCCAAGACAGCAAAACATATGTCATGTTGCCAACATAAAAAACACAACTTATTGATCATGCTTCCTCCTAGAAGGTAATAGTATGTGGTACCCTTCCAGCAGAAACTAGAATTGGTCTTCAGCAACCCATGCTTGGCGTAAGCGGCAACTAACGGGATTCGGTGATCAGGCTCGCTGAATTGGTTCACACATTTCACTGATGCTCATGATATTAATCACTGGATTATTTGGTCCAGGGTTCATTATGCACAGGCCGCCAGCATTAGAATATTGCTGAATGCACTGTTAAACAACTAAAATAAAGAGAGTTAATGCCTTGATAGCCACAGGCAACACTAGTTACGTCAGAGTCTTGACAGAAGCACAGATAACGTGTCATACATAATATAAGACCTATCCACTTCCAAAATAGTTCAGGGCGGTGGGGTAGCCTAGTGGTTAAAGCGTTCGCTCGTCACGCCAAAGACCCGGGTACATGGGTACAATGTGTGAAGGCCATTTCTGGTGTCCCCCGCCGTGATATTGCTGGAATAAAAGCGGCGTAAAACTAAACTCACTCACTCCAAAATAGTTATGACAGTAGTATGGGCAAACACAATCTGCGTGTATTAACAAAAACTCGTCACATGTATAAATGTTCTTCACCTCTTCCTTCAAATGTTTTGACACCAGAACCGAAGCCTCGACTATTAAAAATTAAGGCTACAAAATCCTTTTCACATCCATAAAAGCATCACTGCTAAAAGAATCGATTGCACACTTCCAATAATATTATGATCATAAGCATGTTTGTTTAACGCCTTACAAACGAATATGAGTGAGTGAGTTGGGTTTTACGCCGCTTTTAGTAATATTCCAGAAATATCAGGGCGGGGGACACCAGAAATGGGCTTGACACATTGTACCCATGCGAGGATTCGAACCCGGGCCTTCGGCGTGACGAGCGAACGCTTTAACCACTAGGCTACCCCACCGCCTCTCAAACGAATATGATGTATGACGTGTACATTGTGGCTAATACCGACAGGCGGATTCTTGACGAATCACAGACACTTTCAAATAGGCTCCGAAAACTATTCGGAAAAGCATTGATGTCATATTCACAAGACAAAATTTGATACACAGTGTACTTTGTCTCCGCCGTGACCATACTTTAACACGCATAAGTCAGTCCCGACAGTGTGTCTGAACACTGCTAACTGTCAACTCTCGGTCTAATTGTGAAAGTGGTTTCAGAGATGACAAAAATAGGCATACACGAATAATCTTAGGAAATAGGATGACGCCCTGAACTAGATTAATCCAATATTGATACCATTTCACGCAAATGTATCAATATGAGGTCGTTCAAGTGGTTTAAATACCCGTATTTACGTACATTCCACCAAACGACATTAGAGCAATTTCCAGAATTAAAACCATAAAAAGATAACGTGACACACTGACGAGAACATCACACAGGAAGTATTATAGTATAGTTAATTCAATCAATATCGTCATTGTACGTCATCGATATAATATATGTAATATGTTCTGCATATTACATTAGCTGGCCAAGAAAGGAAGAAATCCTTGCAGTGATTTCAGTCATTCCCCTTTGATTATGACGTCAAACTTTGATGTCACAGTGACATTTACCAAATGTCTATGATATGATACGTTGCCAAACAATATCGGAGCACATAGGTGAACAATTATTTTCTAAATGAATCGTCTGTTTACATAACATAACTTGTTTTCAACTTAGCACAAATGATCAGCAAGACTGAGTGAGTATGGTTTTACGCCGCGTTTTTCCAGGAATATCACGGCGGGGGGCACCTGAGATGGGCTTCACACATGTGGGGAATCGAACCCGGGTCTTCTGCATGACGAGCGGACACTTTAACCATTAGGCTACCCACAACAAGAACATACACACAAACTCCTTATCAATAAATATAAGACCGACCTACCTGACGGAGTATACAAACTAGTCGCCCGTGTTCTACAAGACTTGACTAGGCAAAAGTATATACTGCTTATTTTACTGACAACTACGCCCACTATACATTCATTACACACACTCACTCTCCAACTTTATTATATTCTGTCACGATAATGTTACGTGGGGGCGTAATTTAGTCTTTCCAATCATGGTTTATAAATCGTAATATAGTTCTGGCAGTTAGAGCGATTCGGCAGGCCGTAAAAGAGATCAGCAATATCGGGTGACTATCTGAAGCGACGGGCTTGCAAATTTGTCTGGGACAAATCGTGGCATGAAATTAGAGGTTAATCGACATGACCTACATGTACATTGT